GAAAAAAGGGAGGGGGGGGGGGGGGGGAGGGAGGACACGTTTACAGATCTGGCAGAAGGAAAAGAGGGAGAGAACTGCCTTCAATTGAAGGGGACCGAAGCAATCATGAGCCCCCGACACCCCCTCCCCAAATAAAAGAGTACATACTTTCTGTCTCACTTTTTCTGTCTCCTCCAAGTAGCTTTGTGTAAGAAAATGTTTACTCTCTGTCCTTGCCATGATCCTTGCCTGTTCTTTCCAGCTGTGGATTTTCAATGGAGGCTCCAAAAGGAAAAAGAGAGAGAGAAAAAATCCCAAAATCTTTATTTTTTTTTAAAAAAAGGACTACAATAACCAGCCCATCACATCAATGGTCTTCCTATAGGACAACTGATTTTTGGTGGGGTTTGGTGTATGTGTGTGGTGGGGGGATACAACCAGCACCACAACCCTCCCCCTAAATAACATAATAATAATAATACTATTATATAGGGGGGGGAAATCATCAATGGGGCCTCCAGGGGTCCAGAACAGGGCCCTACAGACGGAGCTGCAGCCCAGAAGAGAAGACCCCCGTCCTGGAAATGCCTCCCCAAGGCTTTGGGGCGTCCTGCCTGCCTTGAACCCCACCCAAATCCCATCCTCTGGGCTCTGGACACCGACGGGGGCGGCTTGGGGTCCCTGTTACCTGTTGAGGTAACCTAAATTGACCTCACGGCGCATGTATTTGCTGAGATAAGTGAAGAGGCTCCCTTGCAAGAAAAAAAAAAAAAGCACCTAAAGGTATTAATGCGCACCTTTCATAACCCTGCTTCATTCATTAGATGTGGGGGTTTTCTGGCTCCCCCCTTCCCTGGCTGAAGGCTGCTCTCCCTCCACGTCTCCTCTTCAGCCCCCTGCCCCAAATCCTTGTCATTTTCTTCCTAGCCTGTCTTAGCCGGCAAGACTGATGAGTACAAATCGCGTGTGAAAACGCCACACCGCCGGGATTTTGAGGAATTTGCCTATGGTGTTAAAGGGAAGGAGCAAGTTACAGACAAACTGAGAGAGAGAGAGAGAGAGAGAGAGAGAGAGAGAGCGAGAGAGCTCTACCTACCGACAGATACAGGAGAAGTCAAGAGCATTTAGAGCTGCCGTTCACACTCAGACACTATGAAGCGACTTTGAGAGCGCATGAAATAATAATAATAAAAAAAAAAAAAAAAAAAAAAAAAAAAAAAAACCCAAAAAAAAAAAAAAAGAATTCAAAAAAAAAAAAAAAAAAAAAAAAGAGCCAGGAACTTGGAGCAGTGCGGGGAGAGCCTGGCACCGAGCTCTTAGAATTAAAGACTTTTTTTTTTTCATGCAAGAACTATGAGCTCCTACTTTGTTAATCCGCTTTTCTCCAAGTACAAAGGCGGTGAATCGCTGGAACCAACTTACTACGACTGCAGATTTCCACAAAGTGTAAGCAGAAGCCATGCTCTGGTTTATGGTCCGGGTACTACCGCTCCCAGCTTCCAACACCCATCACACCATGTCCAAGAGTTTTTCCACCACGGAACCTCCAGCATCTCCAATTCTGGATACCAGCAAAACCCATGCGCCCTGGCGTGTCACGGAGACGCTTCTAAATTCTATGGATATGAAGCTCTACCAAGGCAGTCTCTCTATGGTACCCAGCAAGAGGCGACCGTGGTACAATATCCTGACTGTAAATCGTCTTCCAACAGTAACTCTAGCGAGGGACAAGGCCATTTAAATCAAAATTCGTCTCCCAGTCTCATGTTCCCATGGATGAGACCTCACGGTTAGGACAATTTATTTTGTTTTCCTCCTTAAATGTTTGCCTTTATTTCCTCTCTCTCTATTGATATCTATCTATAATTTTTTTCCTTGCTTTAAAAAAAAAAAGAGCGAGCTAGCCATAGGTTTTGTGCTAATGTGTTTTTTTCCTTTTGAAGGCAAAGAAGTTCCTAGCTGCTAGAAAAGCCAGCAAGGTGATTCTCTGCAAAGGGGTTTAAATCACAATAAAGTAAAACTTGTTTTTTATTGCTTGCCTTGAGGATAGACAATAAGATACAGCTCCCACGAGGTTATTTGCATGTTGATAATACACTGCTCTTTTAAAATGTCCTGTAGCTTTTCTTAACCGCTTGGAGACTTAGGCTAAAAGGTGGGACCTAGCACAAGAATTATTAATACTTTACATCTGTTTGAAAGAGCTTGGAGATAAAAGTTAAAGTGAAAAGGGAAGGAGGGGAGGGTGGGGGGGGGGAGGACTTAGTTCAGAGCTTTGGAGTAAGGGTAGAGGGGAACATTATCCTGTCCTGGACATGGAAAGAGAAAGAGAGAAAGGCAAATCAGTGGACTCAACTGAACTTAGTTCGCTGATGTGAGCTGTAACAATCTCTCTTATTAGCAGGAACCCGGGACACTTCAAAGTACACGTTCCCCCTCTACCCAGCTCCAATGCTGTACTGAAGGCTTGTTAATTCAAAACATATGAAGGTTAGATCCCTGAGTGCTAATTTTAATGGACAATATAGTCTTTTAAACAAGGTTCCCCCCCCTTCCTTTCCCAATGCCTTGCTGATATTATTAATATTTGCCCCCCCCCGATTAAAATGAGGTATAGAAAAAGGAGGGGGGGACACACCAAATTATTTCTCTAAGCTCAAGCAGCCTCAAGGAAGTAATCAATTCGAGGCAAAGGATATTTTAGCAAACCGCTTCTCTTTCTCCCTGAGAAAGCAGTAGGCAAAAGGCACTGGAATGGATCACATTCCTCCCCCTGCCCCTTTTTCCCTCTGTTATTGTTAGAAATGTCCAGCCATACAGTTCTTGGAAACACACTCTCAGTGTGCAGAGGCATACATAGCTACAGACACATCTCTCTGGCTATGTGTGCTGACTACACACACACACACAGATCCCACGTACAACATAGGGCAGAGACAGAGCATCTAGCAGACAATTCACGTTACTGAGGCTAAAGAAAATAACCGGGGGGGGGT